CAAAGTTGGAAAATGTTCTTCCACATGTCAAAACTCATGGCCCCAAATGCTTTGGCTCATGGCCCCTTTACCGTGGCCGGGGTTTTCTTGAGAGGCTTAATGACGCTTTGCGCACGGGAACGTCTGAGCTGTATGTCCGGCTGTGGCTTGGTAGAGGACGTCAGTATGTGGCCAAGGTGCTTGTATGCATCAACAATGGGAACGTGGTGAGCCTCCCCTGAGAGGCTGTCGGCAACGACAAACCCTACACCAAGCTCTGGGTCAACCTCCGCGCCGTGTTGCAGCCAATCAACACCGCATGGAAAGAGGGCGGCTGTCTTGTCCGGAGCATAGGTGAGCCTCATCCCAATTGCCGTGGCAATTTCTTGCACTACACGTGCCGTCTGCCGGGAATTGTCGAGCAGCTGCCGCGGACTGCCTCCAGCAATGGGCGACACAAAGTCATCAGCCCACGACGGTAGGCCCAAGCCAGTGGGGCCATCCACAGAAGCCCATGGATGCAAGGGTCCCTTGACAGTGACAGCCGGCAAGAGGTCGAGAGCTCGAAGGCGAGCTTCGACCGATCTGACAAAGGCCGCAAAAACCAACGAGAAGATGATGTCGGCAGCCGGATCTCCTGGCCTAGAACCCTTACGGGTAAGGGTGACAACATCGTTGAAGCCGATGGTAAACCATGTCGCCTGCAGCATGTCGTCTACCACCGCCGCCAAGTGTGCACTGGCGCCAAAATCAGGCAATATAGCAAGGGTCCGGAGCTGACGAGTCAATTCAGCCATGGCGGACGGAGGCAAGCCAAGTTTGTGAATGAGCTGACAAAGTTCAGCGTCAGATGCCTCGGTAGCAAAGAGAGTCTCACGGACGACTCTGTAGAAAGCTGCCTGGAGGTCGTAGAAAATCAAGGACCACAGTCCTACACTGTGATGACGGCTGGCCTGAAAAGTGCGCACCAACAAAGACATGGCCTCGATGCCCACCCCTGGCACTGTCCCTGCTTGGGTGGGACTACCGTGCGTCTGAAGGAGCGGAATCAGCCGATTGCGGGTAGCGCGGTGAAGGACCTTACCCGGCGTAGAAGCGAGGAGGATTGACCGAAACTGCTGGCACCGGAGTGCCGCTCCCGCTTTCTTGGCCAAGCAATGGAGTGAGCCCCCCCGAAAAGCCAAGGGTTCGCAAACCGAGATGGACGATTTGACAAGAACCGGAAACAGGTGCCTGGCAGAGTAAGCAGGACAAAGTCGAAGAAGGTCACTTGAAATCCCGTCTGGACCAGGGGCCTTGGCCTTCTTAAGGCCCATGATGATTTGCTCTACCTCAAAAAGGCTGGGAACAGCGTTGATATCAAAGGGGACAGTACGGCGGCTGAGCCGGTCTTGAAGAGTGGCAAGGTATCCCGGAGAGTCCATAGGCTCTCCCGCCTCCTGCGCGCCAAAGTGCTGTCGCCAGCCTTCAGCTTTCTCCTCTTGGGTGACGGCCATGACCCCGGAGGGAAGAATGACAGAAGGGAGAGGCGTGAAGGAGCTCCGCCGAGCGGAGCGTGCTGTAGGGAAGGCCTTCCGCACCGCCTTGTAAAGGGCCTTGGGATCGCTGATCTGGCTCTGGCTCACAAGAGTGACAAGACCCTGCAGGTAGGTCACTCTGTCAGCACGGATAGCCCTGCGAGACGCCGCAACAAAGTACTTCAAGAGTGCAACAGCTCGGGCCTCACTCCAGTCAAGCTGCCACAGCCACCTGCTTGCCGTCAAGGCACTCTGCTCCGTGAAAGCAGAGCCACACCAGTGGAGAACAAGGGAAGCAAAGGCTATCATCTTCAGCCTGTGTTCACGTTCATGGGCTTCCTGGCGTAAATAGGCCCTAAGGGCCCTGCAGGTGTCAATGAGTGTAAGGGAGTCCTCACTGACATGTGGCTGCGTCAGCTGTCGAGCGGGGGTATCGTCAAGTTGAACACCCACCGCAGACCATGTACGGACAAAGTGGTCATATTGAGAATCAACATCCTCCGTCCACGGGGCCGTGCGGATCTCCCTAAGGATGGCCAGCTGCTTTGCCCGTGGCTCTCCCGCAGGGGCCGGCTGTGGCCGAGGCACAACCTTGGCTGGTTGAAAATAGCGGTCGGGTTTCAGCTTGCGGCCAAAGCGAGCAGCAACGTACACTGGCGTGTGGTCCTCACGCAACTGAAGGGCCTCAAAACCTGTAAGTGTACGAGCTTGTATGTCAAAGGAGCGCCAAGCCTGAGGAAGCACAACATAGTCAATGCGATGAAGGCTGCCATTGGTACCGCACCAAGTCGTGCCCGGGCCTGTCTGGCACTCAGAAAACGTGGCCGGAACAAAGCCATCCAGAGTTAGGACGAAGTCGTGAAACAACGTTCCAGCCAGAGTTTCTGACTCTGCCTGATGCGGTCCAACAGCTGCCGAGACCAGGTCGCCTAGCCTGGCGTTGGAGTCAACAAGAAGGAGGTAATCCATGCCCTGCGGCCTACGCCGGATTTCACAAAGGCGGTCCTTCCAGAAGGCCGAAACTTCTGTCTCTGTGTGATTGGCAAGGGAGGGACCATGCAGGACAGATACAAACAAACGGAGGAAAGGGGCCTCCAGGCAGACATGAATATGTCGGTGGGAATACCCGGAAACCGTCGCATGAGCCTCCCGAAGGAAGAGAGGCTTACCCTCGTGAAAGCCATAGGGGCGGTGTCTCGAAATCCAGAGGGCACAACCACCCACACCTTCTTGGCCGGTGGCCCCAGCCTGCAGCATTATGTAGTGGCTGTCCGGCAACACCGCTGTCTCCTGCAGCCGTGTTTCCTGTATCCCGACCAGCAGCGGGGCATGTTTCTCAAGTTCGCGTATCAGGATGGCACGACGGCCCATGATGCGGAGACCTACTTCTTCAACAGAAGCCGGCTGGCCTTTGCCTCGCTTGTCCTTAAGCGTAAGAGCGTTGTAGGAGACCGCAGCAATCTCAATCCGCACAAGACCTGTATCGACGCGGACCTCCCTATGTCCATACCTGTGGAAGACCTCTGGCAGGTGTGGCGAACCTTGAAGTCTGTAGGACTCGCTTTCCAGTGCGAAAAGGGCCGGCAAGTCATGCGAAGAGGAAGATAACATCCACGTCCAAGCAACTAACGGGTGCCGGGCAAGTCGAGCCGGCCACAGCGGCATACAGCGCTCCCAAACAGACTCCGGAGCCCGTCGGATGCGCTTGGCCTGTTGGTCTACAAGCTCATTGGGCACACATCCTGTATGGCTTTTGACATGAGCATGAGTGATGTGAAGGAGCTGATCTGCATACTGCCTCATGTGCCCTGCGAAAACAGATAGGGCCGGCACCCCTGGCAGTGTCTCACAGTTGACGGCCCGGTGCTCCCCGAAAACACCAAGTCCGACACTGGTGGCATCATAATGGAAGCAGACCTGGGGGCTCAGGGGTAGAGCATATTGTACCGTCCATGAAAGGGCCCAAATGAGGGCAAGCAGTTCAGCCTGCACAGGCGTGTCCGCAGCCTCACCCACATGATACGGGGTGTTGGGTGGAGCCGCACACCCCGAAGCCCCGCCATAGTAGAAGAGTCCCTGAGACGTCTCACACCAGACACCAAAGGCCCAGGATGCTGGCGAAATGTCCTGTGCGGCAACTGAAGCCGAGCCGTCCGTATAGACATGGAGTGCACAGATGTCGACATCGGGAGAGCAGCCCGTGTGCCAAAGCTCGATTCGGGCGAAGGACTCCCTAAATGGAGTCGGGACTTGTGTGTCAACAAGCAGTGCTGACAGGTCATTGTCCAGCCAGTCTGTGTCGAGGTCCGATACTCTGGTAGCAGGAACTGGTACGGTAGACCGAAGGTCCAGACATAGGCGTTGGAAGGCAGAAACCGGGACGGCAGAAGCAAGAGAAATGACCGGGCGGGGGGATCGAGGGATGGGGGTGACGATGAGGGTACACGCCTCAAAGAAACCCATGAAGCCTGGCTGAGAGACAGCGAGCTCCAGCAAAGTGGGTCCTAACTGCAACCCAGAAAGAGCCTGCTCAACTTCATCGGTGATGATCCCAGGATGTGCTAACTTGCCTGCTCCATCAGCAGGAGCAGCGACAGAGCTGCGGCAAGGAGTGGGCAAGGGCCTCTGAGGCCTAACAGGCACTTCCGTCATCCTGGATCGTACTTGTAGATCACGTTCACTGAAAACCGAGCACACGGTATCCGCGAGGACAGGGGTATCCCTTTGGGGCCCAGGAACATGGGCACCTGCACAGCCTCCTGGCCTTCTTGCGGTGCTGGTTGCGTCAAACTGGGATCCTCGTGGAGGACTCGAGCGAGTCTGTCTACCGCTGTCTCTGGTGTGCCACCACTGGAAGAAGTCCGTGCGCCAACAGGACGCAAACGAGAAACCCGGGCCGCCAAAGATGAAAAGGAAAAGGTTCTCGCAGGGCCATGTGATCGGCCCTCGCACCTGGGGCCGCTCTGCTTGCGCATCAGAACAATAGACTTAAGCGGGAAAGAAAGTTGGTAGGGACAACAAGGCGCCGGGAAACCTTGCACGTCCTGGAGTATGGCTCCTAAAGCCGCACACTCGGGAAAGGGACTTATGACTTTGTCATAGATGGAAGCGGCAAGATCGTGTTGCTCTGCTTCAGGTAAAGGGAATGTCGCAGCCCTTCCTCGGGATCGACTTCGGGATGATCGGCGAGGTGAACGAGGCAGAGTAGCTCCACCCTCGGAGGGTACCTCATTGTCAGTCTCAACCATGCCAGCACTAGATGCTGGAACCTCCACCGAAAGCTCCAGCGGGGGCGACTCTGGCACAAACTGTACCAGGAGAACCTGGCCCGGTTCGACAACAAGTTGATCCCCGTCCAAAGCGGCACCTTCGATTTGGACCTGGTGCTCTGCCGGCGCCCAAAGTTCGTAATGCTCGACCATCTCGGTGTGTGAGCAATCATGTTCAGTGACGACCCATTGTTCAAAACCCATAAGAATGGGCCGACAATCAACAATGATCGTGAAAATATGAGGGCCAAGCCTGCGCGGCGGAATAGGGACATTGGGGACCCTGTCTGTAACACTGGCGACTCCTTTGCAAAGCTTACCATCGATGACGGCATCGTGGATCGGAGGTCTGGCAAGCTGTATAGTCGTCCAGTGCAGAGGCTGACGCAACGCATTAGCCACATCCAAATGATGATGCGCAAATCTGCCAGGCAGCAAGGTAAAGGCCTGGAAGCCATGTTCATGGACCAAGCAAACCTGCTGTGCCCTGTTCCAGTCTCCCTCCGTGGGCGGTGGGTCATCTTCGTTCCATTGGGCGAGATTGACAAGCATAGAGGAAAGGTCACGGGAGTCCGGGATTGCTGAGGCGGGTCTGCAGAATCGAATGACCCCATACGGCACCAGGACCAGATCCTCATGATCAGTGAGCGGTCTACCTGACCCAAAAGCATAGATGTCACAAGGGAGATCCGGCTCAAGGCCAGCCTTGTCAAGGATCTCTGTGCGTCTGGTATTTCGAGGTAGATCTATGACAAAGATCCGTTCATCAAACTGCCGGAGATCGATGACACAAAGAGGCTCTTCTTGAGCCCAGGTAGGCAAGGCAAACACCAGGCCCCAATGGGGCGAGATTTGCTGGCACGCCGGCACCAACTGAGAGTTCATCGTCCATCGCCTGAGAAATTGCATCCAAAGCTGCCTGTGTGGTAGCCGGTCGTTGCAGGCGTACCGTCACACGTTGAGAGGCATGATGCCTAGCAACAAGCAAGAAATTGGCGACATATGAAGGGGCGTGACCTGAAACTTCAGAGGTAGTGTCAAGGTCAGAGTCCTCTGTGGCATTGCCAACCTGAGAAATCGGAACAACTGCCTGAAGAGTCTCAGAGTGCTCATTGGAGCCTAACGCCTCACCAATGGCAGTCGCAAGAATAGGGGCCCAGAGGGGACCGTAACTGGTCACGGGTGGAGGAACCTCATCTACACCTCTCCAAGTAACCTCGGCCAGGCAGCATGCCAATACAGAGGGCTCGGCGGTCGTGACAACCCTACAATCCAGAGACTGTGCAAAGGGGGCTGGTACACAAAGACAAGCGGCTAACTGCTGCGCCCCAAGTTCACCGGAAGTCGTGTACCGAACCTGTAGGCCTTCACCAATGGGCCGAGCATCAAGCACAATGGCGAAGGGCACCCTTCCAAAGGAAACCTGAAAGTCCTCCAAAGACGCCGCAAGAATGAGGCAATGACATGGTTCCCCTTGCACAGAGAGGTCGGAGAGCCCTGCAACGGTGCGGAGGTACAGAGCATGTTCTTGAGCGCCTAGAAGCTGGCTGAGCCTAGCGGAAACGCTAACCCCATCAAGGTGCCTGGCAGCGAAGGGCTGAACCGAACCACGAAAGTGAACGGCCAATCCCGGAGACAGGCCGCTGGTAAAGACCTGATGCAGTGGTGTCCACGGTGTGCCTTCAAGAAACAGCGAGGCAATAGAAGACGACAAACCCGGCAAACAGCCGACTGGCAGGACCAGAATGGTGTCGCCATGCTCAAGGTCAGTGGTGTCGCCAGGGTGTACCTGATAACTCTGAGGACCGACCCAGTAACGCCACTCCGAGGACTCGCCACCAGTGATGCCTTCCACGTGTCGGCATAACTGGTCCCAGGTACAGGGACTGGGCAGCACATCGGCAAAGTAATGTCCTTGAATCCTGGACAGGTCAAGAACTATGGCCTTTTTTCCAAGAAGATCCAGACACTTGGGGTAAGCAACGAACTGCGCAGCACCCTCGAACCGTAGGGGCGTGACGGGAGCAATGCCTTCAAGGTGGTCATGATAGGCAGCGAAGTGCTTGATGGCTCTGCGCATAGTTGCCACCAGAGTAGGATGCGGACCGACTTGGAGACCGAAGGTCAGGGTACGGTAGCCGGGCGACAAAATGGCAACACCAAGCCACTCCCGAGGGGGGCGCGTCGAGGACTTGTCCTCTCGGCAAAGGCAGCTGCACTGTCTCAACACCGACTGGGGGCAGGTAAAGGTGTTCCAGAGAATCCGCCTGAAACCTGGTCACTGCCTCGGTGCTGCCAGCCCTCGGGGCGAGAGGATCTGGCAGGCCTGAAATAATTCGGTCGGCAGCGGAGAGTGCTGTTATCAGCCCCGGCGGAGCCGAGAAAACCTGAAGGGGCAGGCTGACACCAAGGAACATTCTAGTCAGGGCCCAACCAAGTCCCCCTGTTGAAATGCTTCGCTTGCGAACGCGTCTGCAGGGTCTGCTGTCCCAGGCCAAAATGGGGGTAGTCGAACCTACCCGGCCAAGAGACAAAGAGACTTCCTGACATGGTCGGATGAACCGCAAAAGACATAGGCGCCCAACCGGCGATCGATGAAAGCAAAGCTGGTAAAGAAGCAGCCGTACGAGCACAACCTGCAGGATCACAAGAAAGAACAGCAGAACGGCGCGAGGCTGGCTGACCCACCATTCCGGGGAAGAGGAGTCAAGAAAGCCTCGCCTGTCAACTTGACCAACCTCTGGCGTTGCCCAAGGGGACCCTCCTCCAGTGGCCTGTGTCCCAGAGCCACCGATACACATGTTGGGCGCACACTGGGGAGGGCATAACGCGGGGGAGTGCCCGCGGGCCCAAGCATTTGCTGGTAAGCGGATCGTCAGAAGGAGACCCCAGAGCCAGGCACACACAGGAGCTGAAGAGGCCCCACAATCATACTCGCGGAGCCCATATAGGCATTCCAACCTGCAAACCAGCCTGAGCCTGCTTGCCACATGGGCTGCAATGCATGCACTGCCGGTACGGCGGTTTGGCGCAGCACATGCAGGAAGGAAAGGCTGTCCAGTCGGGGAGCCAAAATCGCCAAAAGAAGGGCAGGACGAATGCTCAAACCTGAAGAATGACCTAAACCTGGATGCAACATGGGCCTCCGTCCCTGAGCCACCGATACGGATGTTGGGCGCACCATGAGCAAAAAGAAGATGCCCCTGGGGCGGTGTGTAAAAATCACCCACAAGTGGGCATAACAAATGCTCTGACCTGTAGCATGACCTAAACCAAAGTACAACATGGGCCTCCGTCCCTGAGCCACCGATACGGATGTTTGGCGCACCATGTGTAAGAAGGAAAGGCCTGAAAGGGGTGCCGAAAAAGCACATGTGAAAGAAAAAGGGATGCCACGGCCTGAAAGATGACCTGAACCTAGATGCGACATGGGCCTCCGTCCCTGAGCCACCGATACGGATGTTTGGCGCACCATGTACAAGAAAAGGAGGCCGCCGAGGCGAAATGCCAAAGTCGCCAACGTAAGGGCAGGACAAGTGCTTAGTCCTGCAGACAGGACCAAACCTGAAAAAGAAATGGGCCTCCGTCCATAAACCAGCAATACGGACGTTTGGCCATCCATGTGCAGGAGGAAGAAGCCACCTGGATCGAAGCTGCGTGGCCGCAACTGTCACACCTGACCAAGGAGAGGCTGAAGTCACATGGGCCCGCGACCCGAGCTGCAGAGGGGGGCACTGAGTCTCAAGATCCCAATGAGACCAATGCCTCCGCGAGGAGGAGAGGAGCGGACTACCATCAGAGCTGAGACAAGTCAAGTCCCAGCTCGACAGGAGTGCCCCGGCAAAACAGGGCCTGATGGCCGCAGAAGGAGGGTGAAGTGCGCAGGACTGGAGCAGGGCGTGGCAATCAAAAACCCAATGAAGCCACACTTCCCGCTTGAGGACGTCACCCTCGAAAGCCCAAAAGCCAACTAGAAAACCAAGATGACCCGGGCCTTCAAGGAGTGCAGCGAGGGAGCCTAAGAGACGGAGCGCGGAGGGAAAACAGAAATGTACAGTCTGTACAGACCTAGGAAAGCCTCTCAGTGTCCGCTCACGGCAAGGCGAGAGGACTGAGGACCCCCCGAAGCTCAAAGAAGGGCTTTGCCCGACGGAGTACCGGTACACTGCCAGCCGCGGAACACCCAAAGGTGTG